TTTTTTTGGACATTTCTGCTCCTGCCCTGGCAAATTTGGGATTTTTTGCTTCATCTACAGCGTCACTTTGTGCATCCACACCAGGGTTTACAAGTCATGGCTGGAAAATCTGTTTGGGTTTTGTAATGCTTAAAAATTTTTCATATTTATTAGGCTGAAGTTTAGGGGGAAAAGAGGATCCATGTAAATTCTTCCACGTGTCATTTATCAGCTTAAATTCTGGATAATCAATAACCCAATTTTACCAAAGAAGTTCTAAAGGTGGGAAAGGGGAAGCAGGTTTGGAAGAGGGTTTTGGGTTATGCATGGTCACTCCAGAACAATGATAAAATCAACCTCAATTTATGGTTTGGTGGTGGTTTATCAGGTCCTGACTTGAAGTTTTAGGTACCTGCACCCAGATCCTGAGCAACCCATGAATAAAATATGGATGGCACATGAGGGAATGGGGATATTTTCCTGCTGTGGTGGACACAAAATCCCACCTGGCCAAGCCAGATCTTCTGTAAATTGTTACCCAGCTGAGATCCCACCCGGTGCAGAGCTGTCTTCCAAGCCTCCAGGTAAATAAGGCCTTCAAAAGCACCAAAATCCAGCTGCTCTCCTTTCCCCACATCCCAGGGATTTCTTTAATAAATCCCATCATAGGAAAGTGGAAAACAGAGTTGTTTCCTGCTTTTGGAGCAATTTAGCACCGCTCTTCTCGGTCTTTTATTCCCGAAGGCTCCCAGGGCCAGGAGCCAGGTCTTCTCCTGCCTCTTCCTGGTGGGAAGGACACTAAAGACGTGAGCTACCCCTCGCCAAGGAATGGCCACGTCAGGAGGACTGGACTGGGACAGGAAAGGGCAGTGATCCTTTTTCTTGCAGGAAGCCCCTGGGGGACGCTGGATTTTCGGAAGGAGATTTCTGCAGAGCTCCTAAAACCCCACCTCTCTCCGTGGCAGCAGATATTCCATCTGCACCCTCCAGGGAAACCCATTTTCCAGGCTTTAGGGTTTCTGTAAACACCGCCTAAATCCGGCTCTGGGTGACAAATGCCCACGTCAGGCGGCGGCTGCCAAGTGCCAGCCTGGCACGGTGTCTCCAGCCAGGCGCGAGTGCGAGGCGTCCGCGCTCACGGAATCGCTGGACTTTTATGGGCATGGATGGGGGAGGCTTTAAACACTCCGGATTTCAGTGCATTGAGATGTGCTGGCTCGGATATCCCTCAGAGGTGCTCCGGAGAGGACACGGAGGGGCTGGCACAAAGCAGAGCCTCTGCGCCATCCATCACCTTCCCACTGATGGAAATCCTCCCAGGTCTGTCCTGGTTTGTCACAGGAATAAATAAATACGGCCTCTAGCTCCAGGTTTGCATCCTTAGGTAATCGTGGCAGTGACAAAGATGCCCTGGGTTCCTATGGAAAATGATAGGAAATGGTTTTTTACGGGACAAAGGAAACTTCCAACCCACGGAAAAACCCACATGCCTTTGAGCAGCACCACCTTCCACCACCAGAGCAAAACCCAGCCTCGAATCAGCAAAGCAAAACCCAAACCACTGCCAAAAAATGGTGGTGGAGGGACTGCTGGAAAAATGGGATCAAGTTTGACTCCTGTTCCCTCCAGAAATATGAGGGAAAAGCTGTGTTTTATGGAGTAAATCTGAGCCCCATTTTGCATCCGGATTTGGATGGGATTGTGACAAGCCTTAAAATACACAGACTACCAGAAAAGCGCCTTTGCACGGCTCACCCTCTCCTCCCTAAGGAATACCATGACTCCAGAGCTGTGCCTGCTCTCTTTGAAGGGAAAGGCAAAACTTGCATTGACAGAAACAAACCCGAGCCCACTAAGTGTAAACTCTCACAGGAAAGCCCATGTGCGCTTCTCTCTGTGCTCTCCCAGCCAAAATTCCTTCAGCACGCACCTGCTTTCTGTTTGTTTTGGTGAAAACATGGAAAAGTTCGGGCTTTGCTGAAAAACAGTTCTGATTTCTTGAAAAAAAAAAATTTTGAAAATAAAGAAAAAAATTCAAGTAAAGCAACATTTGCTATTTTTTTTCTATCCTCCTTTGGGTTTTGGTGGGGTGTCTATAAAACCCTCTGGTGGAGCCAGCTCCATTCATTGCCAGCGTTGTGCTGGACTCCACGAAGGTCCTGCCTGTTTTGTTTGTTCCTCTGAGTCATCACACAAACATCTCAGCAAAAAGGTCCAGAGACTTTACAGGGAACACAGAGAAGCCAAAATCACCAGATGGAGAAAAGCACATCTTAAGGGGATGACATTTGGCACGAGAAGCAGAAGAGAATCAGGGTTTGGTTTGATCTGCCCCAAATTATCTCACTGCTTCTACTCTGCAGGAAATTGTTGAGGTTGAACCAAAATCAGGATCAAGTTTTAGATCGTTTTCTCTTTACACATTCTTTCAGGACCCCACATCTCTCAGTATGCAACCTATTAATTACAAATCCATACACACACTCACATCCCATCTGATTATTTGGGCTTCAGCTGACCCTGCAGAGGGAAGCAGATGAAAGCAATAATCAGTTCATTCAGCTACAAAGAGAAAATTAAGAAAAAAAAGAAATCAAAGCTAGATAAACATATCCTGTTCTCATGGAAAACAACAACAAAAAAGGGCTGAACTGGCAGGGGAATTAACAGAGCTCTTCCACACCTCTGTCAAAATGGGATGCTGGAATCCATGGATGGCAAAGGAGGTTGAGTGGGGACCACGATGTCCCTGCTGTCCCCTGGCACGTGAGGGAGGCAGAGCATCCCAGCGTGCTGCTGGCAATGATATTTTGGGAAATTTGGGTAATCGGGGTTGTTTTCTGCCTGGTGGGAGCTGTCAGCCCTCAGACTCAGGTTGTTGATGCTGGATCCTTCCACAGAGCTCCCCTGGCTTTTCCTGGCAGCAGAGTGGGAGGAGGGGGCAGGGCAGAGACCCCTTTGCCAACAGGGCCCGGCTGATTCCAAAATGCCTCTTTGAAGATGGAGATATCACATCCCGAGCATCCCAGGACTCACTTCTCAGTCCTGCCCTCATCCAAGACGGGAGGAGAAACAGGAAAAAGGAAGAGGATGGAACTTTCTGGAAAAATCCTGACTTAATGATATTTTCTCTTGGATGGGGATAATTCACAGCACGTACACCAAACCAAGGAGGGTTTCTGGCTAATTCAGATAACAAAATCAAGTTGTTCCATTGGTTGGTGTAAAAATTCCAGCCTTTCCCATGCTCCACAGAGCTATGAATCAGGTCTGGGGGGTTCTTCATCATACTGTGATATTTTAAATTATTCTTGTTATTGGGATTTAATCTGATTATTAAAACAACCAGGGATGTTACAGTGGCAAACCTTTAGTGCTTGAGGAGCAGACCATGCTTCCCACTCAGCTGGGGGGCCACAAAGGTGCCATTTCACCTGGAAAAATAAATTATTGTGCCAGATTTAACTGCCTGTCATCCAAAAAAAAAAAAAGAAATAACTAAAAGGGGACCACCGGAGAGCTGGGAAAATCCAAAGTTTTGCTAAGGAAGAGGAATTCCAGCAGCTGCCGAGCTGGGCCAACACACTTTGGAATTATGTGCAGAAATGACTGCAGAGAGTTGTTATTAAGCTGAAAACTGCTCTCACCATGAATTCCAGGGAATGCAGGAGAGCCTGCAAGGGAAGAGCTGAGGACAGCACATATCCCATTACGTTTTTAACTGCTCAGATTCAATTTTGAACTCAACACGAAACCCACAAGGAGAAGCCAAGAAAAATGAGCCTTTTCGAATCAAGAGAAACGGGCAAATTTCAAATAAAATGTCTCCACCTCCAGTAAAATCCCAAATTAAGCAACAGCCCCATGCTCTGGGGAGTTATTTCCCCTCCAGTATCTACACTTGGCCCCCACTGAGCTGCTTCACTTTAGTTTAGGATCAGGTTCATAATATCCAGTGTTTGCAGCAAAATCCACTGGAACTGCACACAACTCATGGAAGCAGTGCTGGATCACAGCTCCTGGTGCTTCCAGTAGCTTTTTTACTCTGCAGCAGCTTTTCCAAGGACAAGCCTTGACGTTGTGCAGGAGCCAAGGGCAGTGGGAGATGCTTTCTGTCACAGGGGAGGGAAAACGAGAGGCTGTGGGCAGGCAGCAGAGCCAGCAGAGCTCCAAGTGGCTCTGTTTGGATGATGTTTTTATGCCTTGCAAGGATCCTGACACAAATCAGGGCTGGAGCACCCTGGGGATGGTGGGGATGCCTGGCAAGAGTCTTCCCTGGCACGGTTCATGGTGCAAGAGCACGGCTGCAGGAAGAAATCTGGTGAATTATGCAGCTGTGCATGGCTGGAGGTACAAATCAACGTTTTGAGGGGGGATATGGATCCTCACTGTGGAGAAGCATTTCCCTGACTGGGATATTTTCAGCCAAAAATTTCAAGGTTAAGGAAAATGTAGTGACTTTGCACTTCACCTTCTTCAGGCAGGTTCAGCAGATGAGAAACCCATCTTTGGCCAGGAACCTCCAATCCTGCAGGAAGCCCACAGGAAGGAACCAGATTTTGTTTTCAAATCTGGCTGACAGAGAGGGAGCACAACCATTCCCATGGACCAGAACATCCCTGGGTACTTCACATCAGCATTTGGGGCACAAGAAGGCAGCAACATTTTGGGGTCAAAACCCCATCAAATTGAGCATTTCTCTTTGAGCCTGCTGGAAGATGAGATGCACAACAGCAACAAATCGTTCTCAGTCTGGACCAAGGATGGAAGGATGTTTGTGGTGAGGGAGAAATTTGCCACCCACTGTTGCTTTGGTGTCCGATTTCTGTGGTCGCACTTTATTCAGTGACTGAAAGTCACCAACACAAAAACAAATTCCAAGCTATAAAGTGGGATTTTCAGATAATGCATTGTTCCTAAAGGGAAGGAAAAAAAAACACAACACAAAAAGCATTGGATCGCTCTTTTCCCCTGCTTCATTGACCTTTTCATATTTTCCAGCATTTTTGTGGGATATTTTATTATTTGCAGGAATTACTGGGAAGATCCCAATCCTCTTAGCTGTCCTCACATAGGTCCACGTAGGATCAGCTCCTCGTCCAGTAGCACCACAGGCCTGAGTCAAAACAAAACCAAAAGCAAAGATCAGTGTCAGTGATACAAAACCTCAAAGTTTCATCTCAAGAATTAGTTCAGCCAGCAAAAATTTGGATTCCGGCTTACTCAAACCAGCTAAAAGCCTCCTGAATTTGTGAAATTCAGCTGGAGTTTCTGGAACTCTTGGAAGGAAGAAAGGATGGAGAGATTTGGCCTTTTTTTCTGTAATTTTCCATGGTCCCAGACTGGTGGCGTGGAGGAACTGCAGAGCAGCAGTTTTGGGAGATGATCCAAGACCCTCCACGGTGGTGGCAGGAGCTGCAGGAGACTCAATGCTCTCTTCTCCCTGTCTTCCCAAGCCTTTATCACTTCATTTAGGTCAAAAAAAGAGGAAGCTGTGCCAATGTTTGCTGCAGTTTGGGGGCTCAGGTGTGGTTTGATTTATGCTTCAGAAATATTCCAAAGTCACCGTGCTGGTCTCCAAACCCAGCACTGCCAGACGCCTCCACACCCCATCCAAAACTCACACTGGGCTTTCCTGTCAGTCCTCACACCCAAACATCCAAAAAATCCATGCAAGGAGCACGACCCAAACCCTGATCTCACCTACATGAGCTGGGCATTGCAAGAATCTCCTTTTTTTTCCACTAAAGGTTCCTCACGCCTCTCTTTGCGTGAGCACTTTGAATCCCCTTTTATTCCCCTTTTTCTCATGGATAAAGGAGGCCACTCCACGGCCTCATCCTCAGAGTGCTCGGAACAGGCCGTGTGCTGGCTCAGAGCAAAATTCCTCAGTGGGAATTAGGATTGTAAGAGAGCACTCACACACGCTGGGAGCAGCCCTGCCTTCCAGAGGGTTGCATGAGGTTCCTGCCCACTGGATCCGTGTGTTCCTGGGGATGACGTATCGTGTTACTAATTCCCCTAATTGCATGTCTGGGCTAAAAACAGGCTGAGTTTTCCTAAGAAGTTACATTCTTAATAACATTACTTCAAGGGCTGCGGTAAACCCGAGTCCATTTTTCAGCGACGCACGTAGGTTATAAATCAGCGGAGAGATGCAGATGATGTTTACCTTAAATTTGTTTATCTGCTTCTGCCACTCATTTGTTCTGGGGTTTGCCAAAATGCAGCAACGCAAGATAGAGTGACTGGAAGGGATTCAAGCTTTCCTTCTCCAGGCTCCTACTGCGTGGAGCGCTTCCAGGAGCGCAATGCCCCAAAATAACCACACACAAAACTCTTTTCCTGAAGAAACTCTAGAAGGGAAATGGACAACTAGATGGAGATTTCCCTTCTTTTCAATATCCCAGATGCTGTGCCTTGTGGAAGCAGGTTTGCTCTCAAGTGAGTGCACATTTGAAGAGGAAAGATCCTCGGGGAAATCTTGGATGCAGGACAGCGCTTTGCGTGGCACGTCAGGGATGTACAGCCCTGTCTTGATGTATTTTGATAACTTAGAGATTATTTTGGGTTCTACCTTCGCTGTCTCACTCGGAACAATCCCCTGGAGACCCCCATGAGGTGCTGAGTGCAGGAGGTGGGGAACCAGAGATGTCCCTGAGCCGCCGCTGCCGCCGCTCCGGCTCCGTCCCCTCCCACGGGGACAGCGGGACAAAGCGGGGCTGAGTCATCCGAGAGGAGGACACGGCCTCAGCAGTGCAGAGCAAGATGTGCCGAGGCCCTTCTCGAGAAGTGAAGCAATCTGGAAGGTGGAATTTTTTGAGGGGAGTGGGCGTTGATTTTCCAAATGGGATTTATTTTTTTTTATTAATTTTTTTATTTTTTTTTCAGCCATGAGTATCAGTCCTGCAATTTCCACTGGGATCAGGAAATGACACACATGTGCATTGTTGCCACCTCCAGAAGGAGAGGGGAGGCTGCCTTTGGCCATGGCCCAGCAGCAGTGAACACGCACTTTTGGGAAGAGCATGAGCTCACCATGGAAAGGACACTTGCAGAGGGAGGCGAATTGTTTAAAAACAATTAAATTGTTTTTAATTTTCATTAGATTTCCTTTTAATACCATCATCTTCCCTAGAGCACCAGGAGAACGTGGAGACACGGAGAAACTCTCCTTTGGAAACACAAAAAGTTGAAGGCCAGCCTTGCCCAGCAGGCAGCCAGAGCAGGGGTGGAATTTTATGGGATATTTCCATGAAGATTTGTCCCCTACTGTCCCCATTTTCCTTTCCCCACCAGCACCAATTTGGGATGGGTAGCAACACCCAAGGTAAAATCTTTGATGGATTCAGGAAGAATTTCTTCTCCAAAAGGGTTGTTAAGCATTGGAATGGGCTCCCCAGGGAGGTGGTGGAGTCTCCATCCCTGGAGGTGTTCAGGGATGGCCTGGATGTGGCACTCAGTGTGCTGGGATGGCTGGGGATCAGTCAGAGGCTGGGTTTCAACACTCCCCATTCCAGTTCTCTTCCTTCCTCAGATCTCCATCCACCCTCTGGACCCCACCAATGGAGCCAACCTGCATTTGTCACGGATGTATTTATCCAGGATTTATTTTCTTTTCTCCTCCTCTTAGCTTAGGGAGTAGCAGGGAAATGAAGGAAAATACTCACCTTCCAGATATTTGAAGTGCATTTGAAGGTGTGATGTCCCCAGATCAGCCACTGCCATGCCAGATTAATGAGCTTATTGCAAGGGAGGAAAGATGTGTGCCTCACTTCCCAGCAGCAAATGCTTTTCCTCTCTTTGATCTTGGACACTTCAAGCCTGGAAAAAGTGGATTTTTACCATTTTTAAGTGGTGGAATTATGATACTTTGTATTTTCAGAGATCACTCATAAACCCGACCGCACAATTTTCCATCTCCCTTCATTTGTGCCGTCCTATTTAAATTACCAAGATCCACATCAACAAAATCTCTTTCAAGGCAATTTTTTGTCATCAAGATCATTACAGGGCAAAGGACTAATTATGAACAAGCCTCAATGAGTCCTTTTCCACCCCACACGCAGCTGGAGCAGCGACAGGGACGTGTCTGCATCTCCTTGTTGCTTTACTGTGAATAATGGATTTCCTGTTTGCCAGGACTGATGAGCTGGAGAAAATAATGACAATTAAAAAAATATATTGGATAACTGGCCAGAAATCCAGTGTAATGTGCTTTTTAAGGAGAGTGAGCTTAAGTGGTAAATAAAATTGGAGCCCAGACTGGGCTTTTTTTATGTCAGAGCCAAGCGAGTTCAGCTCTGGACAATGTCCAAGGGAGCCTTTCCTGCTTGGGAGAGGAATGACAGGGAGGGTTTGATGAGATTTTCCCTCACACAGGTAAAGAGGGAGAGGTTGGATGCAGGGAGCACCTCCTGCTTGGAGCCGAGTTTGCTGGTGGTGGCCAGATCCAGCAAAACCCCCAGAAATTTTTGGGAGGATTATGTTTTTCCCCACATCCAAGAAAAAAAAAAGATGAACAAGCTCTTCCATTGATCTCTACAGAGAAATCTGAGCCCTGTTCTTCACGAATCAAGACCAAGCCTCTCTGACAACTCAGATGAAAATTGGAGATCTCAGCATCTCCACCTGGTCTCCCCAGATTTAAACTTTCTTCCCCAAAGTTGGAGCTCTGGATGCTGCTGGAGCAGTGTCATCCCACATTTCCAGGGCCAGCTGGTTTGGTGTGCTCCAAGCCAGCTTCTGAGGTGTTTTCCTCCTCTTCCTTGATTGCTCAGTGCACATTTTTGTGGGCTACATTAACGCATTTTTGGAAGTTGACAGCTCATTTACAGCCTCAGATGGTCAAAACCAAGGAATTTATCTTGGCCCTGGGTTTCGTTTTGTGGGCAATCCACAGAATTGTTGCTGTGGGGGAGAGTCTCCCTGCACCACAAACCTGGTCCCCCTTTGCAGAGCTCAGGCAGGCAGCCTCATAAAACCCTGCAGGACACTCATCCCCTGTGCCCTTAATTAATGACACGCATCTTTAATGAATTAGTCATCCCTTCCATTCCCAGATTCTCCTCTTCCCCCCTCCAAGCCTTTGGATGATTTTCCAGCAGTGACCCAGGACGGGGTGAGGTGGCAGAGGTGACACCAGAAAAGGGAGTGAAAATTTACCTGTGCCAGCCCTCTGCCTTCCCCAGCCACTGCTGGGAGCATCTCCCAGGGCAGATCCTAAAACACGGAGGGAATATTGATACCAGATGGGAAACTGTGGGAGGTATTTTGTGGGCTGGAGACACTTCCTGGAAATCCAGAGTGTCTTCCCCATTTCCCTGTCTCCTCTCCTAAAATAAGAGATGCTAAACCCTAAGAGAAATCCTCCTGCTCACAATTTTAGGATTTTTTTTCCCTTCCTGCTCTTCTGACTTCTTCTGTGCTCCTTTTCCCTAAATTCACCTGATTTTTCCATCTCCTGAGCTGAATTCCTCCCTCTGATGTTTGGAGGTGTCTTTCCCTTCTTTAGAATACTTTTCTCCCTGCTGAACCACAGTTTGTGATACCTGAGGTGTTCCTAAATATCCCTGCTCATCCTGAGACCCTCAGCCATCCTACAAATACAGCAGAGAGTTCCTAACCCTACTTTTAATCAGGATTTCACAATATTTAATAAAAGAGAAATTTTCCTGTAAGTGAGAGCACTGGGGTGGGAGGTCAGATATTTTATCAAACTGAATCTGGTAGGCGCTGAAAAAAACTCAAATGGTTTTAAGGTTCAGAATATTTTCCAACTCTTCTTCTTTTTTCCAAGTCACGGCAGAGAAAAAGAGCTATTTGTTAGAAAAACAGTGTCAGGGAAGGCTCATGTGACATTTGCCAATGTTACATCATCAAAGCTAAATCTCTGACAGATCTGTAAACAGCAACTTTTCATAGAGATGTCGGCAGAGCCTCGGGCTTGTGCCTTTCAGCACAGCCTTCCTGCATCTGCAGCGAGGAGAAAACACACGGAAAAGGATCAGATCTCCTTGCACTTTCCCTCTTCTTTACATGTTTGGAATTCACATCATAAAACTCAGGTTTTCCTTTAAAATCAGAATAAAATACTGCAGCCTGGGACAGGTTCCACACTGAGGGCATGAGCGCTCCTCCATCCCAGATCGTGGGCAGCAGGGCGGGGTTTGGCTGGGAAAGGTGACCCCCACTTCCAAAAGAATGTCCTGGGAATTCCCAGGGAGCACCCAGGAGATGAGGATGGAAAAGTCACCTCTCCCCTCAGTGCTGTCAGGGGCAGGGGTTGCAGTGGGGAGGTATGGAAGTGAAGTCCCCGTTCCCTCTCCCAGGATTCTCCAAGAACTCTTCCAACCCTTCAGGGACACGGACCCAAAGCAGGGCCCTGCTCTGCACGTGCCAGTCCTGCTGGGGAGGGCAGGACTTGGCTTGTTCTGCTTACCAAAGGATCAGGTGCATTTTAATTTGAATAAACAAGAGCTTAAGATATTACAAAACCCTTCCAGGAAGCTGAATGCAAACAGCTTACTTTTATTTTCTGTCTTCCTTCCCTACCAGTCTGTTTTCTCTGCTCATCTTCTGTGTTGTCTCATTTAAATATGAGTTAAAATAAATCCTTCCACTCCAAGCTTTGACTCCAAACTCAATATCTAAACACATCTCATGTGAACCTGCGCTGTAATTAAAGGCATTTGCTAAAAACACAAATTTCTGTCATCTTCCTGAATTTTTGCTGCTGTTTTTCCTCTCTGTGGGACACGCACTCCATTTGTTCTCAAGAAAAAGTGAGATTTTATTACATATTTTTTTTCAGTCAGAGTAATTTTAAGCTCCCACTGATTTGCAGAGGAACTCAAAGGATGTGCTGATGCCTCCCAGGGCTGCACCCACCATCCCCAGGATGATTTTCCATGGGCTGGACACACCATGTGGGAAATCCTGCTGGAGCTGCTGCTGAAGTGACAGGCCCTCCACGACAGCAGATTTTCACTTCATCCATATTTATAGCAAAATGGAAACAAAATGTGCTTTAGAGTAAACAGCAGAATTTCCAGAGTCAGGCTGATTTTCTGGCTTTTGGTAAATTCCCAACCAAAACTTTTCACACTGGGAGCAACCAGGGAAAGGTAAATCAGGGAAAGTGAAATTCCAGCCCGACTGAAGGCAGTGGGAAAGTGGTCACTGATTTTAACACTGTGTTTTGGCCAAAACCCTGTATAAAAAGCTCTATAAATAGGGAAATAATAATAATAATAATAATAATAATAATAATAATAATAATAATAATATAAATTTGGGAGCTAAAAAAGGGAGTAAAGCTAGTGGCTTCCCTTGGTGGCCTAAAAAGCCTGAAGATAAAAAAACCACAACAGCATCTATTAAACACTGCAAAAATTGAAACTGAGTTGTAGGACTAAACCTGATGTCAGGATGAACCACACACTTACAGTGTTTGCAGTCGTGTTTGCATCCTTATTTTATTTGCACAAGCTCAAGGAGGAACAGCTTGCCCCGGTGAGCATTTGCAGAAGAACGGATTTACCCAAACCCAATTAAATCAACAGCAGTGAGCGTCATCACAGAGGGCTCTTGGGTTTTTCCCTTTCGTCACAGGAGGAAGGTGAGAGAGCAGATGTGACCACAAAGTGTGTCATCAGGATTGTTTGGTTAGTGCGGATTTTGGCTGCAGGAATTCACTGAGGCATCCCAAGGAAAGAGGGAATCAAATCCCCAAACCATGGGATCAGCTCACTGGAGAGGAGAAGAACCAAGAGTCCATCCTGTGAGGAGCAGCTGAGGGAGAAAGGAGACTCAGGGAAGACCTTCTTGGTCTCCGCAGCTCCCTGCCAGGAGGGGACAGCCGGGGGGAACAGGGACAGGAGGAGAGGGAACGGCCTCAGGCTGGGCCAGGGGAGGCTCAGGGTGGACAGCAGCAGGAATTTCCCCATGGAAAGGGGGATCAGGAATTGGAAGTGCCCAGGGAGGTTTGGAGTGCCCATCCCTGGAGGTGTCCATGGAACAACTGGAGCACCCAGAGCTGATGGTGAGGTGGGGATCAGTCACAGGTTGGACTTTGGGGTCTTGGAGGGCTTTTCCAACCTCAGTGGTCCTGGGATTCAAAGAACTAAAGGCGAAACAGAGAAGCTGGCTTGTTGGCCCATGGAAAGGCCCCCTCTGGCCAGCAGCAGGAACCCAGCAGGCTGATTGGGATGGGGGTAATAAAAGAAACATTTTCCCTGGATAAAATAGAATCTGCTTTGGCCAGGTTTGTGAACAATACTTTGGACTCTCCTTGAAGCTCCCATGAGAGCCAGGCTTCCCAAACATTTATCCTGTGGTCACACAGAGAAGGAGAAACTGCTGCAAGCAGCTCAAGGCTCTGGACAATGATCTAAGCAAGACTGTGTTCCCTCAGAGTCCAAGGGAGCATCAGGAAGCACCAAAATCCCTTCAGAACTCAGCTGCTGTGACAGTGCTGCTGACTCAGGTGACAGGGAGTCCCTGTCCTGAGCATGTGGTGGGGTGTGACCTGCACACCTGGTACGTTGCTTTGGAAGACACCTTGGTGGCTTCTTGACATCTGAAAAATGTGAAGATCCTCACCAGGAAGGACCCAAAAAACCCCCTTGGTTTCAGATCTTGTGTGGCCACAGTGAGCTCCTTCCTCATTCTGCTCAGGAGGTGGAAATTTTCCTTGGAAACCCCCAGAAGCCAAGAGGAAAACAATAGCAACAATAAAAATGAATTAACAATTATGCAAATGTGCAGGGGGGCTGCCACCTGTAACACCTGCAGAAGGTGCTGGGGGTGATGTCCTGAGCCAGGGCTGGCATCTACAGGAATTATCTCCCCTCGGCTTCATGACACCCCCTTCTTACTCATCCCTCTGACGCCCCAACGCATCCTGGACTTTCCAGCGTGGTTTCACATGGAGTGTAGGCTGGGACACAGGGAAAGGCAGCTCATCCGTGACCCCAAGCGTCATCTCCACGTGCTGGAGGGTTTGGGGAACATGACTCAGGCCCTGAGCCTGCCAGCTTGTGAGGATGAGCAGATCCACCATATCTGGAGGTCAGCACATGAGAAATCAGCTCGGCCGGTGGCCACAGCCTGGTTCCACATGCCGGGAACAGCTGCTCCGGGCGAGCCAGGCGCTTCCAAGCCCAAAGGAAACTCATCTTCATCCCCAGCACCTCCCAAGCTCTGCAGGTCCCCCTCCCCAGCAGCATCTTTGTTCCATGAATTATCCCGAGCTCCCTCTTTGCCTTCGACTTGGGCCAGCCAAGCTCCAGGGCATGCTAAATTCAGCCCCGCATTTATTATCCTAAAAAAATGTGGGAAATAGGAAGGGTTGTAATTTCCCAAATTACTTTTCTTCTCGCTAACAGAAGCTGGCAGCAAATATATTTCAAATGTAAATATTTAAATACTTACTTGCAAGCACAATTACCTTTTTTTTTTGTCCGTGACTTGTTTCATTCAGAAACTAAAAATACTTCCTCAGGAAGCAAACGTCTACGCTGGATTTTGGGGAGAAATTTTAAATCCCTGGCTTAATAATTTTACCAAGAGTTAATTTTTCCAAGGGTTAATAATTCTAACAGTGTTTTCTCTGCTTTTTGGAAATCAGAAAACACGTGGTTATGAAATAAATCACGTTGCAAAAACATTGCAGTGTCCAAAAAGGACAATAGTTGTTTATAACACCCAGATTAAAGTCGTGAGGTTCATTTAGCCTTCAGCTTTTCCTTAGCTCCTTCTGAGCGTGGAATCATTCCCTCAAATGCCTGAGAAATGAACAGGCTTCAACATTTTTATTTATTTGGATGAGCAGAAAGTGAGGGGGGGAAAAAATGTTCCTGCCTGCTCTCGAGGCGGAGAAATCGCTGTCGCTTCTTTCCCCCCGCGTTGGCCGTAAAATGTACAGAAATGTAAAGCAATAAAAATTTTATGAGGGGTTGTTTTTATAATGTTTACCAACCTCCTGCCTCTCTGACGCTTTCCAGAAGATAGGATTTTAATAGGGCTTCTTTCAGTCCATAAGGGAAAATCCTGATTTTTAGGGATTTTTTTAGCACAGTAATTTTTCAGCAGTCTGCTCCACCAGATTTCTTCCTCTGTCCCTTTGAGCTTTTGGTCATGGAAATTTAAAATATAACATAGATTAGAAATAAAATGTAGGTGTGAGATACAAGGGAGACGTGGAATATAATGTAAAATATAATGTAGGTGTAAAATATTGCATTGATGTGAAATATGATGTAGACATGAATGACAATGTAGGTAAAAAATACAATTTAAGTGTAAAATGTAGATGTGAAATATAATGTAAATAGAAAATAAAATGTTCTAATATATAATATAATAAAATTATATGTCATATAGAATGTAGATAGAAAATACAATGTGGATGTAAATAAAATGCAGATAGAAAAAGGCAAAATACAGTTTAGTTGTAAAAATAATGTAGACACAAAATATCATGCAGAGGTAAAATGCAATGTAGATGTTAAATATCATGTAGGTGTAAAAGATCTTAAATTTACATATTATTTACATCAATAATTAGGAAGCTTAAATTGGGGAAATAAATGCTTGGAAAGCATTTCAAAGAAAATTAATAAGTTATTAAAGTTATTAATTTCGCTGCTGATTTGAAAAAATCACAGAGCCTTTCAAAATTTCTTTGAGCAGCAATTTTTTTTTTTTAAAATCCCATTATTGTGAATGACCTCCTGGATTTCTCCAAAGGTACCAAATCCATCTTTTGCTGTCTGGGCAGGGGCAGAGGATCTCTCCTTTCCATACAAGAGCTGTTTATTAGCCCGAGGTTGATCCCTGATTTATCCATTCGGGTTTCCAAAGCTCTGTGGATGCACAGCGAGCCCTGTGCCTGTCGTATGTTCCCACTGACGTGTTTACAGGAGTTTTGATTTACACCTTCCAGGTGTTTCTCTTGGAAAATATCCCTGCCTTTGGTTTACACATTTTTCCAATATATTTGTGGTCATCAGCAAACTCCCCCATTTGTTACAGGGGATGTGCCAGCAATAAAGGGGTGTAATTTTTATCTGGAACTCGATAGCAAAATTTGGATTTTTCGATTTTTAAAAAAATCAGGTAGTTTATTGACAGAATTAATAAAATTCCCCAAATTTATATTTTAGATTAAGTAAGGGGTTTTTTTGCTCAGAGACTGGGTGTCTGTCTCGTGCTTGTGGTGTACTTTTCTTGATGCAAAGCAGCCAATATTTAACCTAAAATGGAGGTTAAACATTTTTTATAGTTGTGTTTTTCACCTCTTTGTTGAAGAACCCAAATTATCATCCCACCAAAAAAATGAATGCTATTTATGCCACCAGAAAATATTTTATATTTTTGTATTATATATTCATTACATCCAACTGTATTTTCAGTGTAAAGATTTTCATAGAACCAAGGCAGAGCATATTCTGAGGTTGCCAAAAATGCTAATAATAAAATTAATTTCTTTCAATTTATTTTTAATTCTGTGTAAGCTTAGCATCGATTTTTAGCACTGGATTAGTATTTTCATTCCAGGTCAGAAGCCAGGTTTTGTTTCTAGAAGACTTTGAAAGAAAAACTGTCATTTATTAGAGGGTACAAAGTAACTCAGAAAATTGTTGTTTTAATTCAGAAGGAAAAATATTTTCTGGGGCTCAGTTTTCCCTTGCAGGAATAGCAAAACCTTCTCATTTAACACTCAGATATACACCCCAGTAAAATGTTATTTAAATTATAAATGCATAGTCCAGCAATATCCTCAAAACAATAGATTTCAATAAAATATTAGAATGACCCTTCAGCATTTTTTTTTAGATAAATCTATACTGGAGTCCACAGGATTTATCTGCAAGAGAAGATAATTAATTGAAAGAATTTAGCTGTTAATTTTATTACTTTTTTTAAAGAGGCACTTCACTAATTTAATTTTATCCTCATGCTCGTTGAACTTCATGAACTGGGCTTGGGCTCTTCAAAGGACACTAAAATCTGGTGCATATTTGAGATGAGAAATGGGAGTAATGAGCAGAGCAGAAATTGGAATAACATCCATGTGAGAAATGGGAATAACTACTGGGAAAAACCACATTGTGGCTGCTGCAGTGCCAAACCAGCAGAAATCCTGGGCAAGGCAGAGTCCTCCTTCCCCAGAGCCTCAGGCATCACCTGCAGCAGCCAGAGAGGAATTCCTAGGGAATATCAGTGGAATATGATCAGGCTTTCCTACGGAGGTTAAATGAAGGATAGAAAACCAGCGATTATTTGAGTTCCAAGTGCGTGGTGCTGACAGCAGAAAGGGAATCTGGAAACGCTGAGTATTTTATCTGAGGAAACCTGGAAATGCAGATTTATTCCGTGGCGCTGGGAAATGAAAAGTGTCACTTTCCACGCTCATCCGACCCCAAACTCCCTGTGCAAATGCCACCAAGGCTTCCTTCACACGCCCTCCTTGGAGAGCTCATCCCAACCAGCCCGTGAGTCGCCACAGGGTGAACACTGGATCGCTCTTCCCAAGGCAGCTTTCCTTGGAATTAGGAAGCAAATCCCAGGAGCAAAGGATTGCACGATGCAAAACTAAGAATATTAAGCAATCCCTCTGCTGTAAAGCCAGAAAAGATTTGAAGGTTGTCAATGGATGGTAAACTGGGAGGCAGATTTTGAACCTCCAAACATCTGAAACCCGTTTCCTGTTTAAATGAAAAAAGAAAAAAAAGAAAAAAAAAATCAAGTCGAGGTGGATGACCTCAGGCAGGAGATTTTTTTTTTATTATTATCAAACGCAAATTGTACATCATCATGGGGAAAAAAAAAAAAAAAAAAGAAAAAAGCACAAAAAAAAAAGAAAAAAAAAGAGGGCCGCTCTTGGTGGTCTTGATCCCTTCTGTATATGAGAGAAAGGGGAGGAAAAAACCAGAAAAAATAAACTTTACCTTCTCACTTTCAGGGTGGGCAATGCCATTCCAGCGGCGGGGTCCCCGGCTCTGGGAAGTGTTAGCGCTGTCACCGCAGCCCGGGTCCCAGCGGCTGCGCTTCCCCGCTTGCTCCAAGGGAAAACATTCCCTGAATTCCTCCTCCTTTCTCCCTATCTTAGCCCGGGATCCTCACGCTGCAGGTTCACGGCGCTACTGTCAAATTGCAGGGGACAGGGCTAATCTAAAGCAGCAGCGACGCGGCAGAGAGGAAAAACATTGACAAATTTGCTGTTTCCAATCCTTTCTACTCTTTCCAGTCTGCTGTGTTTTGCTTTCTATTTTTTTTCTTTTGTCCCAAAGCTGTAAATACGGGGCAGCAGCTGTAACTTGTTGTTGAAATGTGCTTTATGGATCTGTTCTGGCACAGTGCTTTTTTTTTACTGGGTTCAAATTTGATATTGGGAGTTCTGATTTTTAGGTCTTTAATGGTCCCGCTGGCTTTGAGCTGCTGGTTTCTGTGCCCTGGTGAGGTTGGAAGCTCTAAAAGCTTGTAAAAAAAAAGGTAGCACATGCTCAAAGATCCATTTAGTTATTAAATCATCAAAAAAATAGTAGTTATCTTTTTAAAGTAGTGCATATTTCATGTTTATTCACTGATTTATGTAAGGTCTTTGGCAAACCACAGAATCATTAAATTTGGGGGGTTTTCCCCTGTCTTTGGGACACTGCTTTCTTACTGGACATCTGTCACAAGGTTTGAGGGTTTTGCACGGAAGAGAATTCTCTTTGCCCTCAAAAGTTGGATATGATCTGGAAAATCAGCATGGAAAAAAATTCAAGGATTTTTGGGCCAGTCAGTCCTACACCTAATTTTGGGAATTTTTGGCTATAATTTTAGGGAATTATAAGGTCTGAGAGGTGCACAGGTGTTAGTTCATAATTTAATATATCATTAAAATCTATAAACCATGTGAGCCAACCCTTACCCCACCCAGTGATGTCCTCGAGCTGTGAATCAGACACGAAATTTATAGCAAGGCATTTGTAATTCCACATTATTATAAATAATCTGCCCTTTCATGCAAATTCTTCACCCCAAAAGCTGCTCCTAGGACAGGGCCCGGAGAGGGGCATTCCAGAGTGCCCTGACACCCATTCCCAACAATCCCAGCAGTTATTTTTCTAATGAGCGATGACTCCAACATTAAGAAAATCAATTAATCTTCTGTGGGCTCTTTCAAATGAATCCTTATATTATCTGGCTATGCCCTCAGCCGGGATAGTTTAGAAAATACCAGCTCCTATCTTATCTTGTCACTTCTTACGCTGATGGGGGAGAAAAATAATGGTCTCGAGAGCCACAGGGGAGGATAATTAGTAAAATCAAGTGACTCGCTGTTTGTTTGCCTGGCAAAATGAACTTTTACCCCTCCACCGCCACTCCTCCCCCCAATTTTCACCGTCTTATCATCCAGCATTTGACATGACAGGTTAATGAGGAATCCCCCAAATTGGGCTTCTGCAGCTAATTGTGCCCGTGGTGGCTCTGGGCCGGGAGAGCTCCAGGAACCCCAGGAAATCCGAGCTCTCGGGGGGATGCAAAGGCTGAAAACTTATAGAAACCCTCACAAACAGACACTAAAATTCTCTTATTATTGCTTCGAGTTCTGGTGGAATAAATCTGAAAATATTATAAGATCTTGACCTGAAGAGCAACTTTGATTTATTCTCTTTTCATGCATTTCATAATTATTTTTTAAGGTGACTGAAGCATCCCCCCAGTCTCCTCCACAGCGCACTCCTTCAAAAAATGCAATTTTTAGACAAAAATGCAAAATTTCGGGCAACTGAATACAAACTCTTGCTGTGGGTGTGAGTGGAAAGAGAAGCATGTGGTGGGCTCTCCCTGATAATTTTCCAGTGGTGGCATGGAGAGGTGTCCCTGTGGCTGACATCACCCTCTGCTACCTCCCAGCTTCTCCCAGAGCTTGGGATCTCTGCTATTAATTGACATTTCCAGGGAGGGTGTTTTCAGGACATTAATTTATTCAAGGGTTGAGCAGGGATGATGCAGAATTTGGGGCTGGTTTTTGCTGCCAGTTTTTGCTGGGTTTTGGGGTTTTTTTTGCTGCTTGGATTCAAAAGTGAAATGTCACTGATGATACTGATGTCATTGATGATATTGATGTCATTGATGATATTGATGGCCCGACCCTTCTGCTCTCAGCAGGGCATCCCCCCATCACAATATTTGCTCCCTTTCAGATTTATTCCTTCTCTTGCCCCTCTCTGCTCCCCATGCCAGCACCTCTGCATGCTGAGACCAGCACAAAATGAGATCTTCCCACTGAATTTTTATGCCAGCAGGAAAATCATCTCCTGTCCCACACAGGGAAACACTGGAGGCCTCCATGACTCGGGAACATGGGGGTGAGTGAGGAAAAATCACTCTCTCCAGCTGCCTTTTCTCCATGGAAAAGTTGATACCATTAAATGGCCATTTTTTTTGGTGATATCCCATTGAGAAAAGGCACTGCTTAGATTTTTCTCCAGAAATCTTCAGTTTTACGCTGTGTGAGGATACTCCACGTCGCCCAGCCCAATTCCATGACCAGTGCACAGGACCAAACTCTCTGAAGAAAACCCCTCAGCCCATTTCTGCATCGAATTTCATTCCCAGTCCCTGGATTTATTGACATTATAATGGGCAGCCCACACAAACTGCAGCCACGGGGACAATTAACGGCACAGACAACACCAGACATTTGAGAAGTTGCTAAACTCAGTCTTGAAAATGATCTTGGCTTTCTCCCTGTAAAAGGATCTCGCTCTGTCATCGTGTATTAAACTGGAAAGCTTCACGTTGGAGAGCAGCACAAACTCATATCCTGATAAGGCCTCACATCATATTTCAACAGATCCTATCTCCTGTGGCTTCAGCCCATATCTGCCATGGGAATATGAGGGGAATTTGCTGAGGGAAAAGTCTCTGTAAGAAATGTACTGGTGTGTTTTATTTAAGTTTTCTGCCAATAATTGGTGTTGAGGTTTCCAAGCCAGTGCTGCTGAGGAGACCCTTCCCAAGGAGGGAATGGAATGGGACCTCAGAGCTCACCTCAGCCACCAACTCTGAGATAACATGGATTTAAAAGCAACATTAGAGTCCTGGTCCCAAACGAGATCCAAGCGTTGGACTCAGTGATCTTGGAGGTCATTTCCAGCCAGAACAATTCCACAATTCCATGACCATGTTCATTAATCTGGACATCAATCAGTCAATCATTAGCATGAAGTCCACCCCTGCAAGCCCTTGGTAGGATTTATCATAAACACAACAGAAAAATTACCTCAGCCGTGTTTTTCCTCCCAAATTCCAACGCGGAGACTCAAACTGACCAAAACATTTGGAAAAAGTTGTGTTGATTTCTCTGAATTGTTCTCCCCATCAAAAGCCTTTTGAAGGTCACCACCTTCTTTTTGACATTCATGGAAGCATTGCAGATAATGCTGTGGATTCCTTTATTATAAAAAAGTTCAAAGGTCCATTAAAGGCCTTCCATGCCATACAAAAGGCTCAATCCAACGGAAACCATTTTTCTCCCCCAATTGTTTGGAGCGGCAAGAGAACCAAACAATCTCTTATTCACACAGATCTACCCAGGAGCGCGTTTCCCGTGCCGAAGAGGTCCATGCTGCCACTTAACAAAAATAACTTTCCACTGGGCTGCTTGAAAACTTTAAATTTACCCATAAGCAAGAGTTTCATATGAAAATCTGGGTAATATTTGTAGGTGTTTGTGGTAGGTGAGAGATCATGAGAAGAAAATGCTTTGTCTGAAATTCAAGTCCGTATTTTGTCCCTTAAGCTCATGGCTTCAACACGATAACGTCGAAAAATACACAAAAATAACGGAATAGGTGTGGGCTGACCATTTTTCTTGTGCAATTGTCCAGTTTTAAGCCAAATCTTTGCTTTTCCACCATGACTTTGGGAAACAGCGGCTTTCGGCGCTTTTGAAGGGACCTGCCTTGAACAGAGTTCGTTGTTCCTCCATCTCGGTTGTCCAAGTTGCCCTATGTAATACCAATGTTATTTCCTTGATATTATAAATAGGATTTGGGTTGAATATGAACAAACTCATACCCTTTGGTATGCTTTGTAACTCTAATCAGCGTTTTCCTGTGAAAAGAAAAGGGAAAAAAAAAAAAATAAAAAGGAGGAATGTTTATGTGGAAAATAAAGAGGTGCTAATTTTATCTTGTGAAAGTGGATATCTCCTTACGTCCCTCCAACTTCGAGGAAGATAACCAGAATGTATCATATCATCTAAATCCAGCATCCTAGGAGATCAAACGGAATAATGTACACATCTGCCAGGGCTGATTGAAGTATTGCTGGTGCTCACTTCCGCTTCGCTAAGTATGTGTTTCATTGATAGACGGAATTTGCCACCACCATGAAAGAAACTCCAAGTCCTCTGTTTGTGCCAGTTGATTTCTGTGATATCTCGGAGGCTTTTAAAATAGGGCTCCAAAATAGATGTGCCCTTGTCACCCCTGTGTTTAAGCTCTCTCCAACAGGAAATGGCACGGGTTCAAATTTTTTTCTGCTGGAAGCCACATGGAGATAGATAAGAATCATGTCTTGTCTATGACTAAGCATTGACATTTAAATGTTTAAATTGTAGTCAAAATGATCCATGGTGAACCCACCTGAGACTATTTTTCTTTGTCTAAAGTCCTACTTTCGAGCCTCTTGAAAGGGAAGGTGGAGCTCTCGGGGTTGTGACATGACCATGTTATGGGAAGGAAATGGAAGTTTGCTTTATTGTTGGTCTTCAAAGACGGTTCTGCTACCGTGCACCACATCATCTCCACCAGTTTATCCCTGGCTTCTCCATCCTCAGGATGGCTGGTTTAAAGCACCAGGTTTAAAAGGCAGGATGGATGAAAAAGGCTTTCACTTTGCCAAATCCCAGATGTCGACTTCAACACGCCTGGAAAAAAAATAAATATATATATATATATAAAAAAAATGAGTGGTATTTCCTTGGAACTGCTGTTTCTTCTAGAGGCAGAGGGCAGCTGGAGGGGTGAGG